GGGGGGGGGGGGGGGGGGGGGGGTGTCGGTTGGGGCAGCAATTGTCCCTGGCTTCTCCCTCCTTCTCTCCTTCCCTCCTTCCCTCCTTCCACTCTCTCTGCCTGAACCTATAGCCTAGAAATCATCTTTCATCTCCCACTTTAAATTAGATATACCAATTACTTTCCTCTGCACCTATCAGAGGGAATCTAAGGTGTCCAGTACCACACCCCTCACTTTTTCTTATTTCCACCCTAGTTGCTGGACTACATCCCCCTTCTCCATCTACTATGCAGAGAAGATGTATAGGTAGGGCGAGAGCCAGGAGCCAGTCTCCAGGTTCTCAAAGCTGCCCTCTCCCAGTCCCCTCTGTGTGAGATGGCTGGTAGGATTATCCTTCTCTAAGACCTGTCCAGGACGCTCACTCTCTTCCTTCCCACTTGAGCTCCCTCAGGTCCCCATCTCTGGCTCTGACCTCATGGTATCTGGACAGAGGGCCAGCCTCTGGTGTGGATACTTTTCCTGGGAGCCATGCCCTAGCTTGGCCCATTCAGGCCCTCGCTCCGGCATCGAGGCCCCCAAGGATTCCCAGGCAGCCTTCATCCTTTTCCTCTGCTCACCCTGTCCTCTGACCCCCAGACCTCCAAGTTGTCAGGACTCAGGATAGTTGGCAGGGTCCCTGCTAGCCCTTTTGGCTAGCCTTTGTGCAGATGCAGCCCTGCCCCAGGGGGTGACTGGTCTAGAGCTGAATTTCAGCCTCCACTGTGCTCCTCAGCAAGGCATAACCTGTATGACGGGACCTAGTGGCCCTGGGAAAATCTGTGCGCTACTAAGATAGAGACCACATTCATCCCTTTATATCTGTTCTAGCCAGACCAAAAAAAGGTGCCTACCCCTTCTCTTCTGAGAAAATTCTGTGGAAGTAGTTCCACAGGGAATCCCCGTTGCCAATTCCAGATATCACTCTGAAGGAAGTGCCTCCAACATCAAACCTCAATCCCTCCTGCTGCAATCTGTCTTCTTTTCCTGGGCTCCACCTCTGGGCTCATGGTGTTATTTGATGCTTCGAGGCACTTTCAGATTCCATCCCCTGACGCAGCATTTGCTATAAATATGTCTGAAGGGTTTCTTGCTGACAGTGCCCAGCAAGATTGCACCCTCCTTCCAGAACCAGGCCTCTGGAGGGACTGGGGAGTCAGCGATGGCTTCAAGACCCAACTTTTTGCCCACTCTGGGACAGACAGTGCGATTGGGTGGGGGGGTTCCTCCTGGTACCTGGGAAGGTGAGAGTGTTGAGATGCTTGGCATCATGCTCTTGCTGCCCAATCTGGTTCAGCCTGGCACTTAGTAGGTGTTTGATACATGTTTATTTTAGTCTTAGATCTCAGTTTCCCCACTGGGTCCATCTCATGTGATAGGTGATTCCAGTTCCACAGAATGCATTGGAATGAGAAATGAACCTGGCACATGAGACTCTAGGGCTGCCCCAGCTGGAGGAAGGGAAGCTGGTGGCAGGATGGCCAGGGAAGAGGGACTGGCCTAGACTGTACCACCTTCTCTTCATAACTAGAGGTGAAGAACTTCTCTTGCCAAACTCCTAACACTTTAGGATTGAATCACCACACAGCACAGTCCAAGGGATCAGTTCAAGTCCTTCCTCCACCCCCACACAGTTTACAAGCTCTGTAAACATCAGAGGTTAACCAGGGAAGCTGGGCTGAAAAAAGATGGGGGTGAGGTGGGGATTCCTGGAAGAAGTTCTGAGATATTTGACTCAGATGGCAGGCCCAAGTGGTGGGCACACTTTGGGGAAAGAGTTCTCCAAGTGGCAGCAGCTGAAACCTGTCACCTGAAGCAGAGGGGACTTGGGCATCTTTTAGGATGGCGAGGCTGCTGACAGGAGGCTCAGAGCTGTGTGGGAAGAGGCTGCCCCTGGCAAGTACAGCTGGAGGGGGTGGGGATGAGGCACTATGTTTGAATCTTTCTTTTTTTTTTTTTTTTGAGTTGGAGTCTCACTCTGTCGCCCAGACTGGAGTGCAGTGGTCCCGGCCACCGCAGCCTCGACCTGCTGGTCTCCGGCGATCCTTCCGCCTCAGCCTTCCGAGTAACCGGAATTACAGGCATGCGCTACCACACCCGGCTGATTTTTTGATTTATTGTAGAGATGAGGTCTTGCTGCCCAGGCGGGTCTGGAACCCGTGGGCTCAGGCAATCCACTCACCTCAGCCTCCCAAAGGCGCGGGATTACAGGCTGAGCCACCGAGCCTGGCTTTGGATCCTTCTTCTCTCTGGCCCTCTGGCTTGCTGCAGTCTGAGGCTTCTTTATATCACTGGATGCCTGCTCAGCCCAGATCAGAGTCCCTCTCTGACAAAGAGTAGGGGTTGAGGTGCCAGCATTTGGCCTGGAGGTTGGGTGCACTTCTGCTCGCTCTCACTGGCCCTTTGCCCCACTCTTGGCTCCAACTCTTCTCAGTTTAAGGATCTGAGCTCTGGTAGTCATCTCTAGCTCAGAATGAGGGCATGGTGCCCATAGCCTCCCTAGAAGTGAATTATTGAAGAGGGCGTAGCACTGGTTGCTCATAACTGCTGCCCCTTGGGCCCACCATTGCCTCTCACTCTGCTTCTCACTGCTATGAGGGGCCAGGAGTCCTGGTCCTGGGAAGGGGTATTAGGGAGAGGCAGCGATTGAATAGGGGTGAGGAAGTGGCCTTGGGGAGAAGCCTCCAGGGAGGAGGGAAGAGAGCTGGTGAAGAACTGTGACCCTTATCTTGGGCCAAGAGAGTACTCATAGGACAGAGGGAGCTGACAACCACCTGGAACCA